GAGCGACATACATGGCATCGCATATCATGGCACGGCATTATTTATTTTGAATTTTGAATTGATGTTGTATTCTTTCCCAGTATAGTATGATCCCTATTCTCCAATCCTGTTCATTGTGTGGATTCACGAGGCTACAAGAGGTGTGTCTTAGATACCACCTACTGAGTTTCACGCTCACCCCATTATTTAACATTTTTCAGGGCTCGAAAAAGAAGTAGTTGACGCAGATCCTTCCAAGGCTAAGGAAGACTAGGAACCCATTTTGGAATCTTTTGTTTATTCTCCATTCTTTTGTAAAGTCTCAAATCTTGTAAAGTGTATTTGTTTTGAAAACCATAGTTATGTGTTATAACTACAACTCTTAAAGGCATTTTGGATGCAAATTGAGCCTATGTAATTATTTTAGAATGAATGGTAAATGAAGTGTATTTTGACCCATTTTATGAATGTCTTTCTAATTGTATCATGATTCATACTGTTGTCGTAAATTCGGACTTCCTTGCATATCAAGTTTTCCTTATAGATTGGCTTGCAAGGAGCTTAGTAGTATTGAGGGTTAGGACAGCCTATAGCAGCATCACAGGGCCTGTCAGCCGACTGATCCTCACCATCAGCCGACCGCAACCCCAAGTTCGGCTGACCGAACCCCTCCATCAGCCGACCGAAACTCCTACAATAGCAAGTCCCTAGAGCATGCAAGTTTCAAGATTGTTTCAGCCGGCCGACCATGTAGGTTAGCCGACCGATCCTGCCCTGTTAGCTGGCCGACCATGGGCTACCGGCCGGCTGACCCCTCCCTTTTGACCTACATCTTAATCTTGGTTATACTAGCGCTCATAAACTGTGTTCTTGAAGTATTTTGGACCCTGGACTGACTTGTGAGGCATGCCTTGATGTAGGAAAAGACTATGTTGTCCTTAGTTGACCTTGGGTCAGAATAAGGACCAGGCTAACGGTTCAGACCCACGGGTTCGGGTCGTTACAGCATTCTCACAAACAAGATGATGTGGACCCCAAAAACAAGCATGATATCAAACTTTTGAAAAATTTGCTCCTAGATGGCATCCAAAGGCATACAAAAAGTACTTAGCTCTCAAGTCTTGAAAATTTTCAATTCAAAGGAACATAGCCTCAAAAGATCAAAATCATCGCTAAACTCTCACATCATATCACATGCATAGAAAATTAAGTGCATCATGCTAAAAAAAACCCCAAACTTAATCTGTGTATTGTCCTCAATGTGCAAAAAAATAACAGAAGATGGAAAGATTATACCAAATGGATGTAGCATACAGAACCCGGCAATGGAAAGCTTAGCATTGGAAGGAGTACCCCCAAACTTAGATTCCAAAACCCTATCTGAAAAGGTCACACTAGCAACAGCCAACGCATATGCATAAAGTGATAAAATGAAAAAGAGAGAATAGAGGACTGTGACTAAATAGGCAGAAAGATCATGTATATTCGGGTGAAAGGTGTGGAGCTGTGGAGGGAGGAAGATGTGCATAATGGGATCGTTTCTTTCTATCAGAAAATTTACACAGAGCCCTTAGCTTGGAGACCCAAACTCGATGGTCTCCCTTTTGAGGCCATTTCTTAGTTGGATATAAATGGGCTTGAGATTCTTTTTACTGAAAAAGTAGTTCTAAAGGCCTTATCAAGTTGTAATAGGGACAAAGCTCCTGGGCTTGACGGGTTTACTATGCATTTTTTGATGGAAAGTTGGGTGGTTGTGATAAATGAAGTGATGGGCACCTTTCAGGAGTTTCATTCTACTGGCGTCTTTGAGAAGTCGCTAAGAAGGGAGACACTTCTGACATTAAGGATTTTTGACCAATTAGCTTAGTGGGTTGTATTTACAAACTCATAGCTAAGGTGTTTGCTCTTAGGTTGAGGGAAGTTATGGATGGGATTATCTCAGATTCCCAGAATGCTTTTGTTGGAGGACGGCAAATTCTGGATTCAGTTCTTATTGCAGGCGAATGTGTGGATACTAGATTACGAAATTGTGTTCATAAAGTTTTTTGAAAACTTAATATTGAGAAAGCATATGATCATGTGAACTAGAATTTACTACTATACTTATTGCAAAGAATGGGGTTTGGAAGTAGATGGAGGAAATGGATTGAGACATGTCTTTCGTCTGTCCAGTTTTCAATTCTTATGAATGGTTCTCCGGCTGTTTTTTTTGGTGCACTAGGGGTACAAGACAAGGTGATCCTTTGTCATCTTTCCTCTTTCTAATTATTATGGAAGGCTTAAGTAGACTTATGCGCAGGGCAGAGGATCTTGGTCTCATCAAGGGATTCACGGTGGCAAGAGATATAAACCATCAAGTGGAGATCTCTCATTTAATTTTTGCAGATAACACCTTGGTTTTCTGTGATGCAGATGTGTCTCAACTCAGATTTTTGAAGTGCATCCTGGTTTGTTTTCAGGTGGTTTTCGGGCTAAAGGTAAACGTGGCAAAGAGTGTGCTTGTTTTAGTTGGGAATTTCAGGATATCTCTTCTTTAGATGTAGTACTTGGGTGTAGGGTGAGTTCCTTTCCTATTCCTTATTTGGGTTTTCCCCTAGGGGTCTCTTCCAAGATAGTGGGGAGTTGGGATTCTGTGATTGATAGGTATGCAAAGAGGTTGCAGGATGGAAGAAGTAATACTTGTTTAAGGGGGGGTAAAGTAACTCTTATCTAGAGCACTTTATCGAGCCTCCCCACATATTTTCTATCTATGTTCCAAATTCCATGCTTCGCTGCTAATAGGATTGAAAAAATTCAAAAAGATTTTCTTTGTGGCGAAAGGGGAGAAAAGTTCAAGTATCACATTGTCAGATAGAAGCAAGTCTGCAAGCCCATGAAGTTGGGTGGTTTTAGTATTAGACGATTGATTCCTTTTAATCAAGCTCTCCTGGGAAAATGATTGTGGAGATATGGGAAGGAAAGACATTGTCTTTGGTGAAGGTTAGTCTCATGCCCATCCAGTTTCTCTTGTGGGAGGAGTAGAGGCGTGGAAATCTATTCGAAAGGGATGTGATGTCTTTTCCCCACATGTCAGATTCAAAGTTTGTGATGGTAGTTGCGTCCGTTTTTTAAAAGATCTTTGGTGTGGGGATCAGCCATTATTTCGTACATTTTCCAGATTATACAGTATTGCAGTTGATAAACATACCTATGTAGCTAATTGTTATCGGCTTGATAGTAGTGGGATTATGTGGGGCATGCATTTTCGGCATTCATTTTTTGATTGGGAGTTGGACGAGGTAAGTGTTTTTCTGAACCAATTGTATCGGCAGAAAAGAATTGGCAGGGGTTACGACAATTTGATATGGATTCCCTCTCCTCACGCTCACTTTGAAGTAAGATCTTTGTTCTTATGTCTGTCTAATTTTGTCAGCCTTGACTTCCCATGGAAGACCATCTGGCGCTCTATGGCTCTAACTAGGATGGCATTCTTTGTATGGACTGCTATTTAGGGCAAGATATTGACGATTGATAATTTGAGGAAGAGGGGAAATTATTTTGTTCATTGGGGTTATCTTTGTAAGCAAGATGGGGAGTCAGTTGATCATCTCCTAATACATTGCCCCACGGCGCACTACTGTTGGAATCTTATTCTTGGGTTGTTTGGTATGTGTTGGGTGTGATGCCATATTCTTATAAGGACTCGATTCATGCTTGGAGAAGATGTCATGTGAGTAGGGGTGTACGCGATTATTGGAGAACCATCCCACATTGCGTCTGGTGGTGCATTTGGAAGGAGAGAAATAGTAGAATGTTCGAAGGGAAGAAGTCATCTGCGGCGATATTGAAACTTTTTATTATTCATTCTCTTTTTAGTTATGTGAAGAGGAAGTTCATGTTACTCTTGATGATTTAATTAATTTTTTGGATTCTTTGGGGTCTTAGCTCTCGGTTCTACTAATGTCTTAGGAACGCATTTACCTCGAATGCCTTTTTTAATTCATTATTACTTATGATGTCTTTTCCCCACATGTCAGATTCAAAGTTTGTGATGGTAGTTGCGTCCATTTTTTAAAAGATCTTTGGTGTGGGGATCAGCCATTATTTCGTACATTTTCCAGATTATACAGTATTGCAGTTGATAAACATACCTATGTAGCTAATTGTTATCGGCTTGTTAGTAGTGGGATTATGTGGGGCATGCATTTTCGGCATTCATTTTAGGATTAGGAGTTGGATGAGGTAAGTGTTTTTCTGAACCAATTGTATCGGCAGAAAAGAATTGGCAAGGGTTATGACAATTTGATATGGATTCCCTCTCCTCACGCTCACTTTGAAGTAAGATCTTTGTTCTTATGTCTGTCTAATTTTGTCAGCCTTAACTTCCCATGGAAGACCATCTGGCGCTCTATGGCTCCAACTAGGATGGCATTCTTTGTATGGACCGCTATTTAGGGCAAGATATTGACGATTGATAATTTGAGGAAGCGGGGAAATTATTTTGTTCATTGGGGTTATCTTTGTAAGCAAGATGGGGAGTTAGTTGATCATCTCCTAATACATTACCCCACGGCGCACTACTGTTAGAATCTTATTCTTGGGTTGTTTGGCATATGTTGGGTGTGATGCCATATTCTTATAAGGACTCAATTCATGCTTGGAGAAGATGTCATGTGAGTAGGGGTGTACGCGATTATTGGAGAACCATCCCACATTGCGTCTAGTGGTGCATTTGAAAGAAGAGAAATAGTAAAATGTTCGAAGGAAAGAAATCGTCTGCTGCGATATTAAAACTTTTTATTATTCATTTTCTTTTTAGTTATGTGAAGAGGAAGTTCATTTTCTTTTTAGTTATGTGAAGAGGAAGTTCATGTTACTCTTGATAATTTAATTAATTTTTTGGATTCTTTGGGGTCTTAGCTCTCGGTTCTACTAATGTCTTAGGAATGCATTTCCCTCTAACGCCTTTTTTAATTCATTTTTACTTATAAAAATAAAAATAAAAAAGAAGAAGAAGATCATGCATATAACAATATCAAAAATAACCAAAAGTATCCCAGATAAATATCCAAAAATCAATATCATATAAGTACATCCCCAAAATAATAACAGAGTATGTCAAATAATGTCTAAGGAGCACATAAGAACAGAGTAAATGAGAGAGATAGAGAATGCAAAATCATGGAGTCCCGCCCGGTGGTGGCTGAATCATCTTTGTAAATTGCTGAAGCATATCTGTAACTTCCTCACGAAATCTAGTCAGTGTAAGCTGCATCTCCGTACGGAACTGAGTAATGTCCCTCCTTATATCTGTCACACCCCTCTCTAGGTCGTCAGCCCTCCGTCCCATCCAAGCGCTGAATGTAGTAAAGTCTGACTGGAGCTGAGTCAACTCGCTCATAAAGCTGGAGTCAGAACTGGCGTACTGGGAGAGCGAGTCTGACTGAGACAGTGGATCCTGAGGAGGATGTGAAGATGAGCCCGGCTGAAACTGAGAAGTGATGAGTTGCTCCTGATGCTGCTGTGTGGAGAAGGATGTGTGTTGCCGACTCCTGGAAAGAATAACAATATAGATATCAGTGCACAGTTCCAGAAAATGGAAAGAGAATAAAAAATAACACAAAGCATGCTTGAATCAAATAGAAACAGAGAATATACAAAGATGAGCATGCTTGTGCAAGAATTTAACAAGAAAGCTTCAAGAATAGCATTCAAGCCATTTTCTGAAAATTTAGAACTAACACATGCTTCAATTTGCAAGAAAGGATCATGGCACATTAACAATTTTGAGCATTCAAGAGGGTGCAATTGTAGTAAAGAGAAAATCACAAAAGTCAATTTGAAAATATTTGTCAGAATGTAGCCAATATGAAAAGCCTAGGATGTGATGTGCACAAGGCATGCAACGTGAGTTCACAAACCTAAAATTTAAGAGATTTTGCAAATTTCAATCATGTAGACCCTAGGATGATATCTATCATTTCCTAAGCAAGAACGTCTACAATGTTCATCATGAAGTCCAATGGAGCAAAAAGATGAGATGGAGGAAACAAGTTCATGGTAAAGTCTATTTAGAACTCCAGAAAGCATATACATCATGAAATAGAGAAATAAGTGCAGGACATGGTTAACTACACTTCAATCCTAAGCAAGTGATGATACATAAGTTTCTAAATGAATCCTAGACACGAAATGCAACATTTGAAGCATTTGGATAATTGATACACAATTTAATATGCCAACTCCATTCACAACAACAATCCCATTCTCCTTTTGGCAACAAAACTATGACATTTTGATCACTCAAGGCTAGTAACCCCTTTTAAGCATTATAGAGAACAAAAATGATTGCTTATGGCTCGCGACCTCTGCACACTTCAAAGATATCAAAAATGTTGTCACTTATGGCATGTGACCCCCTTCTTTGCAAAATTTTAGTATACAAATGGTACAGAATGAGAAGAGTGAGAATCTTACCCCTTTGCATAAAAAACAATGGCCGGTTAAGGCAAAGATGCCAATTTTGGTCTCAAGCCCTTACAAGCTTTCACAAATGAAATATAAAGATATATGACAAGTAAGATGGCATTTCAAGTTCAAATTTCCTAAACTTAACAACAAAGGATAATTTGGTTCAAGTTTATTAAACACATTTAAGTCCAAAACAACATTCCCCCCAAACTTATTTCAAAATGGCTTTTTACAAGTTCAAATCAACCTACAAGTGTTCACCAAGTCCAAGCAATGCCAATGATATCCTAGAAATGTACTTTTGAAATTTTAGCTCTCAAGTTCCCCTAAAACAAGTTGAAGTTCCATAAATCATGGTATTGCAACAAAAGAGAATTCAAGAAAGTAGCATGCTTTCCAAACCAAACCAAACCAACTGTGGGCTCTATTGGCAGAAGGGACGAACGCAAGCTGATTAAGGAGGAACATTGACTGCGTATGATGGCGAGTGAGGTAAAACGAAGAGATAGGGGAAGGGTGGGAAAGGAAACTCAACCAATCGAGTTGCAGAGGGCAGCCAAAATGCAAGAAAGGGGAAGAAATGGGCATCACATGCAGAGGGTGCGTAGAACGGGAGTTACAAAAAGTTGTATATGTGGCGAATGATCCCGATCCCATCAATTATAATGGGTAAATGACAGCTAGGGGATTACGTGTCAATGCAAAAGAGGATAAGGAGTTGAGGGATAGGGAGCACATTTAAAATTTAGGTGGGATAGGCTGTAATGGGGCATCAAAAGTCTCAAATGTTATGGGCCAAGTCTTGTAGGACAATCCAATTAGTATCATGTGTGAAGAAAGATTGAACCAGTAGTTCATGACTCATTTAATAGGTTTGGGCCTTTATAACTGGGCCCATATGTTGAAACAGAGAGTGGTCTTCGAGACTTAAACTAAGCGCACATGAAACAGCAGCAGCAGGTAATGAAGAATGACCCCAAAAGAATTATCAATAATAGGGGAGGCTTCAAGTGTAAGGAGCAATGGGCCGGGACTAATATAACTCTTCCAAAGTAAAAGAAATATGGGGAGTTCCAGCGGGTTGGGCCTGACAGTAGAAGAAAAGCTCAGCCCAATCCTGTTGAGAAGGTGAAGGATCAATACAAGCCAAGACTGGTTCCCTTAAGTGGAAACTAAGGGGCTGAGAAACAAAAAATGGGTTGTAAACTCAAACCCACGAACTTCCCTTCTTCTACACCCTCTGCTCTTGGTCTGTTTGAGAAGTTAGGTACAGGAAACATGGTGGGAAGCTTTGGTCGGCGAGATCCTCAGGGGGTGTGTGGCACCGAATTATGACAAAGTTGCATGTGGTTCAGAAGAGGAGGGAGTTGAGCCAGTCAGGTTAATGCAGCGAAGAGTGGGTAAGGAACCATGTACTGCAGAGGAGGAGGAAGAAGGCTCCAACAGGGGATTGGTTTTCTTTGATATTGAAAAGTGTAGGCAGTTGAGGGTTTTCTCAAGTGGCAGAAATGATAGTGGGATGTGGGGTTCAACTGCTGCTTTAAAAGAGTTCCGCAGATGCTGCTCCACGAACAGAACTACGACTATATAGTGGTTGGTACAAGATGTGGACAGAGGAGTAGGAGCAGATGGAGGAAGGATAATTTAGTGAATACAATGGTTTCAGCAGCTCACCAGTATAGGGCAAGATATGAATGCTGAGCTGTGAAGGATAAAAATGCCGGCCAATTACAATGACAAATTATGTGATCAAGTACTTATCAATCTAAAACAAGGTAGAATGTCAGTTGCAGATTATATGCAAAATTTTGATCGCTAAAGAATAGAAGAATTTGGCAAAACCATTTGAGCACAACAAGTGCTTTCAAGAAATATCCGTTGATTTGTGCACAATGGGCAAATTTTCTTAGCATTATATTAATGTTGGTCAAACATGTCATTTCATATCAAAGGTAGAGAATATTATTAGCTTTCTTATTCTTTTTTTTATTTTTTTTTATTTTATAAGTAATATATGACATAGAAAGCATTCAAACGGGGAAAGCAGCCCAAGGAACAAAAGAAGAGCCAAATAGGGCCCCTAATCTCTCAATATGTCCAAAAACTCAACTCTCACCTCTAAGGATTTACAATTTCTCCCAACAACCCAGCAAAAAAGTGAGCTAAGAATAAACAATTTAAACACCCCAATAGGAGTGTCCTCACCCTCAGAAGGGTCTCCTATTGCGTAAATTTCTAAAATTTAAGGGAACAAACCCCACATCAATCCTACATAAGATCCTACTAGCAACCTTTTTTAAAACTACAAAAATTATCCTAATAGTGCAGAATGAATTGTCGTAAACCAGAGAGAGAGAAAGAGAGACTCCCTAGAGACATGTAAATCTTAGGTCTCTAGAATCATCCATATGTAAAACAACATAGGATTCCTTTCAAAATCTTTTAAATTTTTATCAATCTTTAATTTTCAAAAAGAATTTGGCTTCTGAAAATTAACATTCTTTTCTCAACAACCTTTTTTAATTGAAAACAAGGATACTTCAAGAGACCATTATTTTGCAATATGAGCAACCAACTAAAGAAAAACCAATGGGTTTAAAAGTTTGAAGATCTGAGGTATGTTAGGAAGAAGAAAAAAATGGTATGGGGGACCTTATCCTGTTCTATCACAAGACCCTCCTTGTCAAAGAATCTTATCAAGATTTTCTAAATAAATTATTCCACAAGTTTTTCCTCTACTCTAGTTCTAAATACCGTGTCTGCTCTTAAAGTGCTAATTTTTCAATACTTGCTATTTTTTGTTTATAATATAATAATTATTATTTGTATACTATTTTATCCTCTCTTTTTTCCAAATCATGTCCAATATTAAATCAAATTAAAAGAATGATGAAATGAATTCATTATAGTAAAAGAATATAAAACATTTATACAATTAAATAATTATTTGTTTAATATCTTATTTCTTACCACTAAGATAGATTTTCTATTTTCCATCTCAATTATTGATATATAGTTTAAACAAGAAACATATAGTCGCGTATTTGAATTAAGACTTCGGGTGGAGACTCTTTCTAAGCCAAGTAATATGCTCAAATGAAATAAATTTCTTAGAAAACCAGCTATCTCTGGAAGTTTGATGGAGAAGGTTTGGTAAATAATAAATAGATTATTATTATAATAAAAAACCTTAGCTGTATTATGTCACCGCTATTGGAAACACAAGCAACAAAAGCATCAACATTATCACTATTAGAAGATCAATCATTGTCAAAGTTTGATTAGTTCAATAATGTATTTGTCTATGCTTTCAATTTAGCTCCTTCCTTTTTTACAAGAAACACTTTCACAGACCCACTTTGGCCCCCTATGAAGACTTGAACCATCAACGTTTGAATTTGGAAGGTGAGGAAATACCATTAGATTGTAGATTATAGCCATTAGTAATGTTCTTTCTTTCTTTCTTTTTTTATAGCCATTAGAAAATAGGTACTGATAGACGAGCACAGGGAAAAGACTGGGACTGCATGCTCACTAATACTATAAAATGATGAAACAGGTGAAGATATAGTTAGGGGTATTACTATAGAATCCACATCAAACTAAGAGTATGTGAGAAAAGACTAAGAAAATAAAAAATACAGGCTAGATACTACAAAGGATGGGTATTTTGCACAATTGATGATCCAATGAGAGGGGTCATTTGCATGATTCTGATACAAGGTTTTTCGGCTGTAAAAATAGTTCAAAGAAGTTTGTTGCAAACAGGTTGATAGTTCGGGTTTTTCTTTTTTAAAATTTACCCAATATCTTGTTAGAAATTAACAGTAGATCAAATACAGCTAGATTGACTCTTTTCTAATTAAAAAGAGTAAATATCCCAAAAGTTTCAATATCTGAATCAAAGAACAATAAAAAAAGAAGAATGAAGAATGAAGACTCTAAATATATATTTATAGATAACAAATGAAATAGGATTGTGGTAGACATCTAGTAATTACTAATTACTACAAAGTTAATCTGAGATGTTCCACACTAATATCAATAATCAATCATTCAGATACTTTGGTAGACAACTAGGGAATAAAGTAGATTCGTGAGGAACGAAGTCAGTTGACCAGCGAATCGAGTCCTGAAAACTCAAGTGGAGAATTTGGTGGATTGATCTATGTCAAAGAGTAACTAGGGGTTCTAGAGTTTGGAAACTTGAATCTAAATGTAAACTTCTTTCATATAGTACATTTCGTTGGTTGGGTTATATAGTTGATCCAAACAACAAAGCATATTCACACTCCCTCAAGGTCTGGATCACAAACATTTAGAGACACTACATGGGCACCTAGGGTTTAGATCCTTACAACTATCAAACATAATAAAACAGATAAGTAATTTTTTTTTTTTTTTTTTTTGATAAGTTAATAAAATAGATAAGTAATTATAGTTCTGAAAAGAAAATGAGTATTGGAAACATTTACAGCAATATGATCAGCTTCCCAAAAAGAAACTTTTCAACAGAGCAGGGCGAGGAAATGTAAAAGTTCTTTTTTTTAAAAAAGAAAAAAAAAAAAAAAAAAAGGTGTGCGAATCACTTACCGCACCACTGCATTCATGATACCATATAGTCTAGGAAGTAAATGAGTTTTGGTGGAAGAAACTTGAGCTTTCACTCGGATTTTCCGGTTCTGCCTATCAACTTGTTTAGAAACTAGTATTCTCGTGCAACTAAACAGAGATTGGTGCTCCTCTCCCTCTCCCTCGCCCTCGCCATCGCTATCACCAATGTATCTTCCATCACGCCAAATGACATAGAACTCATTACCACGGAAATGAACAAGAGGCGGCCTATCATATGTCCTGTCAAGTATTAAACACTCTAAACCTACGATAGTGGTGCTGGCCGACACTCTGAGATCCATATCATACACAACTAACTCGGCCCAGGGCTCTCTCACTTTGCAAATCCAGTACAGAGTATTCTCAAAAACTGCCGCTCCAGTTTCATTCCTCTTGACATCAAAAGCAGAGTCCAGTGACTGCCAAGAACCACCTTTTGTATCATAGGCAAGGAGGCATTTGGTGCGGATCGAAGCACAGATAATCCTTTTTGATGCTTCATCATAAGTTACAAAGAATCCACCACAGTAATAAAGAGACGGAATTGGATGTGGAGGTGGAGTGATAATTTCCCACATATTGTTGATTGGGTCGAAAACCTCTATCTCTGGACCTTTACCGTTGAGACCGCCAAAGACATAGATCTTGTCATCAGCGGTGACTGCATGAGGGTACCACCTCGCAGCGTTCATCGGAGCAACATACCTAATCTGCCTCGATGACATATCGGCAGCACGGACTTCTTCAGAGTAATAGCCATAGATGTTATTACAACCTCCAATACTGTAAATGGTTGAGCCAAGAGCGACACAGCAGCTCCACATTGGAGTCTCCACCTTCTCCCAGATCGGTTTGATTACCGCCGTAAACGGAGGAGGATAACCTTCTCCTCCAGATCTCTTCCTCTTCCTTTTCCTTTTCCTTTTCCTTTCCCTGGTCTCATTTAATTTAATTTCGTACCAGTCCATCTTTCCTCCATACAAGTCGTGTTTACACGCACGAATATAGACAGTTTTCTCAACCACCGACGCCAACGGAGATGGATTTGAGTCTTCAAACGTCATCCATTCAGGAACCATAGATGGATTTGGATTTCGTAATTGATTTGGGTCTCGGACCGTCATCGATTCATGAACCAGAGGGAACATCATCGATTCACCAACAAAAGATGGATTTGGGTCGCTGTTGCCATCTCGATCGTCAGCCAAGCCGCCTCAAGTTTGTGTATTTATCTTAAAAAAACAAAAAACCAAGAATAAGAGGTATCTAAATCAGAGTTACATTTTAAATCAAACATAAATAATCTACAATTGTAAATATTTGGTAAGAATAGAAAATTTTAGAGAAGCTAAAGAAGTGAAATTGGGCTATAAATACGTGTTGAACATGAAGACCAAAGATAGCAAGTTAGAAGCAACTGTACCATAAATAAAAAGCCTAACAATGACAACAACCAATCCTCATATGTAAAAGTTATATACCAGTTTATAGAAATATTTAAGAATTTGATTCTGGATAATGTGGTCATGGTTTGCTCCTCACCTATTAGAACCACCATTAGGAGGATTGACGTGTATGAAACACACAAATCATTGTAAATACAAAATAAAAATACTAATTTGACAAGAATAATGTGTAGGAATTAGATATATGGTTTGTATAGGACAAATAAAATAAAATTTATACAACTTATACAAGCTAAATGGAAGTGTAGTTCAAGATATATGGAATATGGCCAACAACTAGCTTTTAATGAGTCAAAAATGATTAATACAAGCCCATAATAATCCGCGATAATGTAAGCTGTATAATAAGTGAAAATCCAATTAATTTTAAAAAGGGTTCTGTGGATATCAGAACACAACTTGTGTCATATAATTGATCAAAGTTCTAAAAATATCGTTTTATAAATCTAAAAAAGTGAACCTAATTTAGATTGTAACAGAAATCATAAATACAAACCTACAATGAATATCGTGATTTACCAATGCTTAAACCAAAAAAGCAAATTTCAATCCATGCCTAATCACACGCAATAATAAAAATTACACAAACACATATATACCTACAGCATAAAATATCGAAGAGAAACAACAATATCGCAACAGATCTGCCTAGAAAATTCAATTCAAACTGAAAAAGGAAAACAGGGAAGATTCGGAACATAATTTGATTCACGGATCTTTAAAAAATTATTGAATAAAACTCAGCAATCGGAAAACTAAAAATCAAAAAGTACGAAGAAAGAACTATAGATATCAAGTCCATGAATCTATATATATATATATATATATATATATATATATATAATCAGATAGAGGATCTGACCTGCAAAGAGAGAGCTTACGAAACCCTAGCCGCGAGAGAATAGAGCGAAGGAAAATGAAAAGAGAAAAATAAGCAGCAAGAGAATAGAAGCGAATAGAGCTTACGAAACCCTAGCCGCGAGAGAAAGCGAGGAGCGACGTGAGAGATTGGGGGTAGAGAGAGAGGGGGGGGGATTGGGGGTTGAGAGACAAAGTGAGGAGCGATTGGAAAATGAAAAATAAAAAGGATAAATTTCCCCGAACCTCACTAGTATCACTCTTGTATCAAATACTCTTCCAGAAAACTCCCATCACTGTCAAAATTAAATATATTACGTCATGTCTATGATAAAAGGATGATCCTATTCTTCTGATATATTAAATTAATTAAAAAAATTTAAATAAATATTTTATTAATTATTAAAATACCCTTGATAACATTTAAATCACCAAACACAAAAAGCTTTCATTTTGTGTGTATATATATTATATGTATATATATAAAAGGCGTCATATATGTGTTTCAAGTTGACTTGACCTTTTTCTTTTTCTTTTTCTTTTTTTTTTTTTTTTTTTAATCCAGAACTCCCCACGAAGAGGCCCTTACGAACCCAACATGTGACACCAAACTGGAGGTGGATGGCTGCCCCCACCCAACAAAGTTGACTTTTCTTTCTAATTCTTTATACAAGAGAATGGTAAGAGTATGAAAATTTACCAAATCAAAAACATTATCAAAAACTCAAAATGCTTATGACTCTTAGGGTGTGTTTGGATAGTATTAGTTATGAGAGAAAAGAAAAGAAAAGAAAGGATAGTATAAGTGAGAAAAGAAAAGAAAAGAAAAGAAAGGATAGTAATAATTTCTATTTGTGTTTGGATAGACAGGGGAAAAAAGAAAAGAAGTGATAGTTATTTTTGTTTGGATAAGATAGAGAAGAGAAAAGAAAAGAAAGGATAATAGACAAATTACTTTTTTACCCTTTCATAACCATGGGACTTGGATGGAATAATAAATCTGTGTATTGATTTGTGGAGGCTAATTTTGGTATTATCAAAATATCACTAAAATCACTATCATTTCTCTCACTATCTCTCCCTATCTTCTCAATTTTGAGGAGAAAGCAAATAAGAGATAAGGAGGGATAGCTATCCCTCCCTATCTCTCCTTATCCCTCCCTATCCCTCCACTTAAGTTACCCAAACATAAACTTACACTATCCTCTCTTTTCTTTTCTCTCCCTATCCCTCCAAATCAACCCTACCAAACACACCCTTAGACAACTCCTACATTCCATATCTCTGTAGATATGCGAAATGGGTAGAATATGCATGCCTGGATTGAATTCGATGGATCAAACCTTCCAATCCCTCTAATTGCAAGTGTTTGTGGTAGACATTTACATCGTAACAGACATCATAAATACAATCCCACAATGAATATCGTGATTTACCAATGCTTAAACCAAAAAAGCAAGTTTCAATCCCTGCCTAATCACACGCAATAATAAAAATTACACAAACACATATATACCTACAGCATAGAATATCGAAGAGAAACAACAATATCGCAACAGATTTGCATAGAAAATTCAATTCAAACTGAAAAAGGAAAACAGGGAAGATCCGAAACATAATTTGATTCACAGATCTTTTATAAATTATTGAATAAAATTCAGCAATCGAAAAACTAAAAATCAAAAAGTACGAAGAAAGAACTATAGATATCAAGTCCATGAATCTACACACATAGACACACATTTTTTCCCACACTCGAACCCCTTCCCTCTTCTTTGAATATGAGGAGGTTATGCCATTGGACCAAAGGCCCTTTGGTCACTCAAATAATATAGTTCTTTCGTTTTGTACAATCTTATTGTAAGTATTCCATTCAAAATTATTATTATTATTATTATAAGTATTCCATTCAAAATTATTATTATTATTATTATTATTATTATTTTTAAGCAATATTCCATTCAAATCAAAGTACATACTTATATGCCATTGGAATCTTACAAGTAATTACAACATTATTGACCTCAAATAAAATAAATAATGTAATTCTAATTTAAGTCACACAATCTTTCTTAATCCTTCTAAAGTGGTGTCGCTTTCACGCACCGAACACGCTCTCAAACCTCCCGCTCTCGCTCCCGCCTTGTGTGACTTAAATTCTAACCGTAAAAATTACATTCAAAAAATTTTATTTTATTATTTTTACCAACATTCCAATCAAATCAAAGTACATACTTATATGCCATTGGAATATTACAAAGTTACAGCATTATTGACCACTTCTTAGGTGCAGTGGTGCACGATTATTAAAGTTTGAGTTAAACGGTCCAAAATTTTGGATATTTTTCAATCAAATAATTCCAAACAACTCAGAAACAAACCCGCATGACATGACATGACAGAGCAATCAAAATCTTCTATGCTCTTCAACGCACCCTATCATTTCCCTATGAAAAGTCCGAATTTTACCAGAAAAACGAGTTTGATACAAAGCTTGATCAGTCGTCAAGGCCAAGGGCCATCTCTTGTGTATATATAAACATATATATATATATATATATATATAATTGAGATTCTCTGCAGTACAACACATGTGACGCGACCCATTGTTGATTAAATTATCATAGCCGTCACAGCAGTACAACATGTTATATGAGTTCTCACAGCCGTCTATAGCAGTGTGTGTGTGTGTGTGTATATATATATATATGACTTACACATGTCCATTGATAGCAACACTCTTGGTTGTGTTGTCCCTGATTATATTTCTCTCACCAGTCTTCTTTCCTCATCTCTAACTTGAACGTTTCGCTGCGTCTTTGTGCCAAGTGGAAATGCTCTGTGTGTTGAGTTTATAATTCACACACACATATATATAATTATAAAGTTATACTGTGTTATTTCACACACATGGCCTTGTCCAAATCAAGGTATTGGGTTTGTCCGGAGCACGAGTGTGTTTGGAAACAGAGAAAGGGGAAGTTGGATGGGATGAGAAAAGTGGATTTTGGTGGGATGAAAATGGGAAGAGGTGAAAGGAAAGGGTTGCTCCCGAGGCTGTTCAGTGCAGGAGTAAAGGGATGTAATTGGGGGGAGGAAGAGGAAAAGGGGTTTGTGAAGATGATGAGAGAAGCTCAGCCTTATTTTCATGTGCACAGAGGCAGCACATTCGTGGTCATATTGTCTGCGGAAATTATTGATAGTCCTTACTTGGATGCCATACTTGAGGTATTTTCTCTTTCTCTCTCTAACTTTGCTCTTAAAGTATTTGGAAGAAAAGAAAGAGGAGAGATAATTTGTTAAAAACAGTTTCTATTCAGATCGAGTACCTGCAAATTCTGACGCAATCTCTTGGTGAGGAGGAGTTTGTGTCTCAGTCTGCAAAATAGATTTGAACATTATTTTTAAAATATTATTTATTTATTTTTCCTTTCTCAACTAAATAAAGAAAATAATTATATTTTTTTTATTTCATATTTTTTGTTCGCTTCTTTTCTACCAAATACATTTTATAAGTAAAGAGGGGACAACTTTTTTTTTTTTTGGTCGTCCTCCTCTGTTCTCACCAAACAAAAAAGAAAAACACTCTCTTTTAAAATTTATGCAAAATTTGATTTTTAAAATTTGGAGAGATTTTTGGTTCATCAACGTTTTCATCTTATCAATAATATATATTTTTAACCATTATAATAATTTTTTTTTTAACAATATTTAAACTTGTAATTGGGACGTGAGATTTAATATTATTGAATGAATATTAGAATAAGAATAATACATAGAGATTGCTTGGTTTTTAACTCATAAAATACAAAAAAAAAATTTCAAAAGAACTATAATAACAGATATATGAAAACATACATTTTTATAACGGAGTTCAAGCCGAGTTTTTATAGAGAAATTGATTTTCAATTCTTTAAAAAATATATATTTTTAGAATTACAAACTAAGCCCCTATTGATTAGAATATGATAATTTTAGAGTTGGCTTAATACATACCTAATATTTTTAGAGTAAATTACATTGATCTCCCCTTACGTTTCTCCTCTTGGTTGTTGTCAAATTACAATGACATCCTATCATAATAACTTGTCAAATTTGTAATTACATTTTTATCCTCATCTATATTGTAATTTATTATAATAAACTCGTCTCTAAGAATAGAATTGAAATATACAAAATTACTACCATTAATATTTTTGTCATTGACCATTATTAGATGAGATATATCTGTTATTTATAAATAAATCTTAAGGGAGATAAATGTAATTTAATAAATAAGGGAGGCATTGTTGTATACTTAGTCACATAATTCGTTGAAAGAGGCCCGCTCTTAAGCTCCCACGCGAATTTGCGATTTGGGAACGAATTCGTACAAAATTCGCGAATTCAATTTTTGTAATTCACGAATTCATTTTCCTAATTCGCGATTTTCCTACTAATTTACTTTATATAACTAAATTAGCGTTCATTACTTACATTATTACTCAATATATACATTAATTAATTAAATTTCAGTGTGCCCTAGCAGTATGGTAGTTTTATACTACCATATATATTAATTATACATGTTTGAAAATATACTACTAAAAAAACTTTCCAGTTAGAGAATATTAAAAATACATCACACATGTGAGAAAAGTTAGTTATTTATTACATATATCATTAATGAAATAAATAATTATGAATATATTTGCCTATAAATTTAAATAAATAAAAATATATAAAATATAAATGTTATCAACTGATATAATTTTATTTAAACTTAATATACAGACGCTCTCAGATGCTCCCGCTCTCAAGTTTTTTTTGGCTTTGACGCTTTCCCGCTCTCGTTTTCGTTCCCGCTCCCGCTTTATATGACTTAGGTTGTATATTGACGAAATTTTAAGAAAAGCCAATTACCCTATGCAATAGGGAGTATAGAATTAATTATAAAGTCAAAATTATAATTTATTTGTATAAACAAGTGGAGTGATATTTTCCATCCCACTTTCTAAATTTAGATGTTTTTGATACCATTTAACCATTCTATAAACCGTAATAAAAGAAAACGACCCGGCACTAAACGGATGTGTTTTGCCATTCCTTATTGGGAAAAAAAAGTGGGAATCTTCTCCAATGCGGATTTAAGTCCTCTCATAAATCTTTTAGCAAAAATTCTGTGTTTTTTTATAATTTGTTAGTGGACT